CCAGGCTCTCGCCTCACATCCAGCCTCCCTTCCCAGACCTCTTCTCTTTCGTGAGTGCCGGGTCGCCTTCCCTCCCTGGAGCACGGCCTGGGCAGGACGGCGGGGCCGTGGAGCGGAGACCAAGCCCACGTCCGGCCGGTCGGGCTCCCCGGCTCCCGTGAGGAGGGGCGCGCGGTCTCCTCCCTCCCGGAGCGGTCGCCGCGCCAGCTCTTTATCTTCGTAAAAACGCGACTTTATTCCCGCAGGTCCACGAATCCTCCTCGCAGGGCTCGCAGCCTTCGCCGGCCGCCAGCTCCGGCTACGAGTCCTCCACGCCGCCCACCATCGTGTCGCCCTCCACAGACAACCCGACCACCAGCTCCCTGTCGCCCTCCTCCTCCGCGGTCCACCACACAGCAGGCCACAGCGCGCTCTCTTCCAATTTTAACGAATGGTACGTTTAAACTCGGAAACAAAACACCGAACACAACCCTATTTAAGAGACTGAATGCACACGTATAGACAGTATCACTCAAAGAACCCCGTGAATCAAAGCAGCCCCCACACAGACCCCACAATCCTATTTTTTAGAATCCTACAATACACCCAGGACGAGTAAGAGAGAGGAAGCATCAAACCTTTTTAACAATTTCCTTTCACTTTCCTTCCTTTTCTTTTTTTGGTAACGGCTTGATAGCCAAGGGGCGGGAGGGGGTCGAGGACGAGGCGGTCGCCTGACCAAATGCCGCCAACCTCGAGGGCCGGTTTCCTGTCGGATCTGAACAGGTTCTCTGGGGCTTCGGTTTTTTNCGCCCGGCTACGCGGCCGCCGCGGCCCTGGGCCACCACCACCACCCGGGCCACGTCGGCTCCTACTCCAGCGCAGCCTTCAACTCCACGCGGGACTTTCTGTTCCGCAACCGGGGCTTTGGCGACGCGGCGGCGGCGGCCAGCGCGCAGCACAGCCTCTTCGCAGCTTCGGCTGGGGGCTTCGGGGGCCCACACGGTCACACGGACGCCGCTGGTCACCTCCTCTTCCCTGGGCTTCACGAGCAGGCGGCGGGCCACGCGTCGCCCAACGTGGTCAACGGGCAGATGAGGCTCGGCTTCTCGGGGGACATGTACCCACGGCCCGAGCAGTACGGCCAGGTGACCAGCCCGCGCTCCGAGCACTATGCCGCGCCGCAGCTGCACGGCTACGGGCCCATGAACGTGAACATGGCCGCGCACCACGGCGCCGGCGCCTTCTTTCGCTACATGCGCCAGCCCATAAAGCAGGAGCTCATCTGCAAGTGGATCGAGCCCGAGCAGCTGGCCAACCCCAAAAAGTCGTGCAACAAAACTTTCAGCACCATGCACGAGCTGGTCACGCACGTCACCGTGGAGCACGTTGGCGGCCCGGAGCAGAGTAACCACATCTGCTTCTGGGAGGAGTGTCCGCGCGAGGGCAAGCCCTTCAAAGCCAAATACAAACTGGTCAACCACATCCGCGTGCACACGGGCGAGAAGCCCTTCCCCTGCCCCTTCCCTGGCTGCGGCAAGGTCTTCGCGCGCTCCGAGAACCTAAAGATCCACAAAAGGACGCACACAGGTACGGAAACCGCTGTACAGCCCTTTCCCCTTCATTCCAGGCCTGGGACCCGAAATCCGAAAGTCAGCGGCCGGGGCGCACAAACCCATCCTCGGTGGGGTCTGGGCGGCAGGTTCCGGCAGGCAGGCAGCACAAGTGCGAGCTGATTTTTAGTTTGGGGCTTGAAATTATGGAAAATAATAAAATAAAATAAAAAACAGAGAGAGGGAGGATGAGAGGGATCTGGGAACACAGACTTGTAAAGTGAAGAATAAAAAGGTCCGGGAGAACTGAAAGCCAAGCCTGGCTTGGTGGAGCCCTGGGTGCGCTCGAAGGCGGGAGAGGAGGCCGGCTGCGAGCAGCAGCAAAGGCGCCAGCCGCTCTGGTTGCAGACATATCTAAACGTTTGCTTGAGGCCCTCTCCACACACTTCATAGAGTACTGTGCAAAGGAAAGGGCTGAAGAAATTGACGAGATCAGGTTAAGGAGAGTGGGGGGAGAAAAAGAGAGAGAGAGAGAGAGAGAGAGAGAGAGAGAGAGGAGGCGGAAGGAAGTACAGGAAGAAAATAACTTGGGACTGAGGAGGCTTTTGGAGGCTTCTGCATATTTGACGAGCCCAGTTTTACCAGTGTCTGGTTTGAGAATGGGATTTAGGATTGGAGAGAGTCGGCGGTAGGTGAGTAAGTTCTTGTTGCCAGTAAGATTCAGTGGGGTGGTTTCAAAACATCGTTTCCCTCGCGTTGGCCTTTAAAAATAATCAAGACACAGGTAGGGAACAGCTTTAAAATCACGGCGACCTCGGGGCTGTAGTCTGGGGTCCGGCAGGACCTTCTGGGCCGCTTGTGCCCATGAGGCCAGGAATCCGGTCTCCTTCCCTATTCTGGTTTGCCGGGTGATATCTGAGAACCGCGCTTAGAACTTCGGGTTTAACTCCCGAGACAGGGAAGAACTTGCGGCGCCGAGCTCCCTCTGGCCCAGATTACGCTTTAAAATGTGAGTGTATGTAGGGGGTGGGGTGGGCTGGGCGGCGGGAGGGGGCGACGAGGGAGGTGCGGAGCGTCAGGGAGGGAGCAGGGAGAGGAGAGAAGAGCAAAACAGCGGGAGAATCAGCTCCAAACAGGAAAACTAGGAACCGGGAGCTAGGTAGAAGCAACCCGAAGTCGTGTGTACAGCCCCGGGCAGAAAAACCAGCATCCAGACCTCCTGCTACTCTGGGATCTAAAGAACTACCACCACCACCACCACCACTACTACTAAAACCTAAAAGTAAAATGTATATTTAATTCTATTAGAAGTTAAAATATATTTGAGATATTTATAATTCCACTGCACATATATGAACTTATTGAAGTCCCAGGTATTTAAGATTGCAAAATGCTAAACCTGGGCCACTGTCCTTTACTTAATTTAATTTTTCCCCAGTTGTTTAATTTTAATAAAAACAGCGCAGATTTGTTTTAATCAGATCCCTCTCTTGCCTTTCATACCAGGGGAGAAGCCCTTCAAGTGCGAGTTCGAGGGCTGCGACCGGCGCTTCGCTAACAGCAGTGACCGCAAGAAGCACATGCATGTGCACACGAGCGACAAGCCATATCTTTGCAAGATGTGCGACAAGTCCTACACGCACCCCAGCTCGCTGCGCAAACACATGAAGGTAATCGCAGCTCTCTCGCCGCCCGCCTTAGAGGCAGGAGCCTTCTCTGTTCTCGGACCGGGGTCGGGCGGCGAGTGGCAGCCAGCTGGTGACAGGAGCCAGAGGAGGAGGGAGGGCAATGGTATCACTCTGTGGAGTGGGGCTGGGCAATTAGGGTGGGGACTAGAAAAAGGGATGGGGGCACCCAACGCCGTTTTAAATTCACTGTTTCATACTAAGTAAAAAGTGAACCCTCGAGCAGAGGCCGCGACTGATTTCGGGCCCAGGCCTGGGGAACTAGGGCTGTAGCAGCGGGGTGACGCCGCCGAGGCTACCGCCACGGCGGCTGGCAGCGTTGGGTCCAAGAGTTAGGGTCTCGCGGCCAAGCCTGAGAGCTTGCTCCCCTGCACCTGGGCGAGCCACGTGCAGGCAGGGAGCCCCCCCAGGCTCTCGCCTCACATCCAGCCTCCCTTCCCAGACCTCTTCTCTTTCGTGAGTGCCGGGTCGCCTTCCCTCCCTGGAGCACGGCCTGGGCAGGACGGCGGGGCCGTGGAGCGGAGACCAAGCCCACGTCCGGCCGGTCGGGCTCCCCGGCTCCCGTGAGGAGGGGCGCGCGGTCTCCTCCCTCCCGGAGCGGTCGCCGCGCCAGCTCTTTATCTTCGAGGGGGAGGGGTGGGCGGTCGAAAGCCAACTGTTTGTACTGAATGGCAAGAATGTTCTAGTAAATGTGTGCCAACATGTGAATTACTTTGTACGATTACAGTCTCCACGTCGACCTAACAGAATATTATTGGTATTAATGTGCTTTTTATGTATAAAGTGCAAACATTTCGTCCCAAAGTCTAAGTACTTTAGTGCAGTAAAATGTTGTTTCACGTCCTGTCAAGAATTCGTATAGTAAGAGCCTGGATCTGCGTGTCAAACTGTTTCATTTGTTTATGTAAAGTGATATTAAAAAAGATATAAACTATAACTGTCCGTTGCTTTTGGCAAAAGATACAACCACATAATGTATATAATTCATAGTTTTCCATATTTATCCGCATGTAAAGGGCCGGTTTATCCATGTTACAGCTATTCAATATTTATGGCTAGAAGAACTCGTATGTACACTTTAGTTTCCAGAAATGTTTGGTAACCTTTCGTACCTTATTAAAGATTCTTAAATCTCAGTGATTGTGGTAGGAATTTCTTCTTCGCCCCCCAGCAACCTGCTGCCTCTTCTGCAAGTCTTAGTGGGTCCTCCGGAAAAGCTCCCCAGTCTCCCTTGCCTTCCTTTTCTGTCATTGCAGATCGTATAAACGTGATAAATGAACGCTACCCTGCTGGCTCTCCGAGAGGGTGTAATTAGTATTTATATCAAAATTTATGAAACAAATTTTCGGCCGCAGTATAATTTAAATGACCTTTGCAGACATAGAATAACAACCATAAAAATAACAGAAATAGATTGCACAGGCGACATCAATATTAATGTAGGCGAATGTCAGAAGCTCAGGGGCTTGCTCTGCAGCGTTGCAAATGAACTTGCACCGAAGGATTCCCCTACCCCCCAAATTAAATTCCCCAGCTGAAACCGAGTTACAGATTTACAATATCATATTTTAAATTGCTGTCTTCAATTAAACCATTTATGGCCATAACTAATTTTCAGGATTTTAATGCATGCTTTTCCAGGCCTTCCTTCTTTGTACAAAAGTAAACGTCCATAAAGCGTTTCACTTATATTTCTTCAGACATGATGCTAATTTAAATTAATTACTTCCTATGATATGTTATTATTCCTATAATTTTGCCACTGTTAATAGTTTTCTCAAAAATATATCTAGAAAAGAGAATTATTTTATGTAATTTGATTATCTTTCTATCTCTTTTATTTATTTCTCATTTACTTAAGAAATTCGTTCCATTGGCTGGCGTTGATACAGTAAATTTGTAAATGAGGAGACAATATAAAAAATCTAAATTACTTGTGCTTAATGACTGTAGCAGAACGCCTTTTCTCTAAATCAGATTGTCTTTCTTGCAGTTTAGTTTGATAGATTTGCAAGCTATGCTGCTTCCACGAAGTTAGCTGCGCTGGTAGGAACGCGGGCTTCTTTGTCTCTGGTTGTAGCTTGCATGATCGCCCCATTAGGCAGACAACGTAGCCAGAGATAACAAATCAGACTCTTGGCTGTAGCTGCAAGGGTGTGGGTGTGTCAGAGCAGACAGCAGAAACTGACCTCGCTGTGGGCAAGGAGTAACATGGATCTGCTTATTTAACATACTGTGTGTGTTCAGGAAGTCACAGGCCATACTGACTGAGAAGGAAAACAAGAGGAAAACCCCTTAACATATGAGAACCCCTTAAAATACTCACATCTATTTTAAGGCGAGATTAATTTTCTCAGATTATACCACTGACCAGTTACAAAATAAAAATGTTAAATTCTCTTTTAAAATCCTTTGTTGACTTGTCCTTTCATCTCTTGCTATTTGTACTTGACACTTTTAGTCAACAATGTCTCATTTACTGAGGAAGGGATTTGTTGTACTTCCTGTAGCACATCAAAAACTGGGGGTGGTGGTGGTTAACTTTTAAAAAATATTATTCTGATTACAACTGTAATATTGGCCTTTTGTGAAAAGAGCGCCACCTTGCAAGGTTTGGCAAGATTTAAGGAAGCTGAACACCTAAACAGGAAATGCTGCCAGCTCCAAAAATTTGTGAGACCAAAAGCTGGCCCCAAATGGCTTTGGAGGCTTGAAATTTATGAACAGTGTAGTATTTGAAGTGATTTTAAGACACTGGGCTCAATAGCTAATAGTGGAAACAGGAAAAAAAAAATAGCTCATCTCTCTGGGTAACACCTCAATTAATAATCCTTCCCCTTTTCATTAGAGATCAGATTGTCTGGGAACCTGATATGAGTAGGACAATAGTAATAATAATAGTACTTTTGTAATTTTGCTAGTGCACTTAAGAAGATAGTAAATGATGAGTTCATCTTTTCTTTGACCACTCCTAAGTGCAGTTTACTTCAAATCTGGAATTATAAATGACTCATTATTTGTTATGTATCTGATGCCTCTTTTGCTTTAATATCATAGTGTAGTAAATATTACACTGTGACATATGATTTAAGTAGAATATTTTAAATATAAGTTTTAAGGGTAAATGTTTACTTAAAAACCACTTTATATTTCAAATATTAATTTGACTTTGAAGGCCAAATTTAAAAAACCAAACAAAACAAGGAGTACTGTGGGTGTCTGTGAATACTCTCACTCACAGCAAAAGGACTTTTATAATTGACGGCGACATTTATGCCAATCCCCCTTTGTATTCTTTCTTCCAATGCCCACCACAAAGAAAAAGTCATTAATGATGTAGGTTGCCTAAAATAATGATTCAAACTTAAGTGTAGTCTATTATTTTGCTGGTACCTTTAATGTCTGCTTCTTGAGATGTATTTTTCATACTTTTCTTCATGGGCTATTAGGTTTTGAAATACATGAATGTGAACAGCGAAATATATTGTTAGACTCTATTTAGCAGGAGCTGAAGATGCTGCAAATGGCTGGTTTCTGTGTGTAGCTGTGGATTTTGACTTAGGCAGAAAGCCATCCTGGTTCATATTGGGACTGCATTGTATTCTGGATGCTATGAAATGGTTAGAATAGCTAACAAGTTATTAAAAAGTTATATTGTGTCAACACAAAATGCCTGAGTACCAGCAATCATATTTGAGGAATGAAGAGAAATGAGTTGTGGTATGTGTGTGTGTACATTTATAGAACAAGCATATAAATATACAAGCACCATTTATATGGGGGCTAAGTAATTTTCAAACATTTCAGATCCTTTGTTTTCTTCTTCAGAAGCTACCCCCAACTGCTTTAAGCATTTGCAGCTGATGATTTTGATTTTTAAAGTCAAGCATTCAAGTTAACCTTTAAGGAGCAAACCTCCTCCAAAAGAAAGATGTAACCTTTCAATTGCCCCATCTGCTTATCATTTTTTTTTTTTTGGCTTTAGCTGACAATGAAAATAGCACTAACCTTTTTTGCTGATGGGCCTGGCATTTAGATGTTTTTATTTGTTGATTGTTATATTTTCTCAGAACTTTTAAAGGACTGGCAACAGAACTACACCCCCAAATGCTTCACTCACTCCCCAAACCTACTAGAAGTTCCCTTTTATTGAGGTAAAGATGTAATCAGTGTCCTGTTGATGGAGTTGGTACTTGATCATATTGCTCTCCAGGAAGTAACATGGTGAAGGCCGTGGGCCTTAAAGAGTGTATTCAGTTTAAAATATTTGGGGAAGTAACTGTATGTGGTCTGGCATATTCAAAATATAGCTACTGAGCTCGTGCCCTGATTATTTGTGGACTAGACATCAGATTTTACACATTCCCAACTTACTTTTCTTTCCTTTTTCCTACTTAAAATACTAATTACAAATTTATCTCCTCCTCTCTAGGTACAGAGTTCTCACCTCTTCCTTGCATCAAGTGAAGTTCTTAGAACTATGTGTTCATATTAGGGGGAAAAAAGTGTTGTTTTCATAAAGAGGGTCACAGTTGATATTACTTTTTGGTTTTAGAATTCTTGAAAAGAGGGTGGCAATGAAATGATTGATCCCATTTATGCCAGTCAAGCCACTAAAGATTCACATCACCCAAGGTGCTCTCTCTTTCATCTTTTTAACCGCCCCATCTGTAATATGTACTTGTTTAAAGTGGTTTGATGTAGAAAGTAAGATTTTTGTGGGGTAACTATACAGCAATCTCTTTTTTTTCCCCCAAATGATAACTACTAGTTTGGGGCAAGAAATAAGAAAAATGTTAATAACCTGTTATAAC